GATTATTTCCCCCCTTCCAAGGGCTCCTTGCCTGCCTGTGGGCTGGTCCCCTGGCTGCAGCCAGGGAAAGCCAGCCCCAGCCCGGTCCCTGCAGCAGGGCTTTTTCCAGTGCCACCATGCTGAGGGAGAGGAGAAGGGGATGTGCCAGCCCGGCCCTCTGCGCCGTCACCCTTGGTTTTATCGCAAACCACAGCATTGCCCAACGGAGAGGGACAATGGGGAAAACTGCACAGACCCATTCGGTGCCACAGTCCTGCAGAGAACAAAGCGAAGCAACAGGCGGAGGGTGGCTGGTGGCGGAGCCGCTGCGGGACCATGTCCCCAGGCTCCCTACGCCTTCCGTGTGCAGGCTCAATGGAATGGGACGGGCAGAGAGACTGGGTTTCCCAAGGGAATGCGCCCTTGTGAGGCACAAAGGAGAGGTAATGAGGTCCGGTGGGACAGGGCAAGGTGGCTGCTCACCGAAGGCTTTGTTTCTGCGTCAGTCTCGTAAGCGTTTTATTTGCGGTGGCCACCCGTGCGGCAAGAGGAGGGGGGCGGGGTTCTGCCTCTCCCTCTTGGCTTGGGGGGGCTGAGCACCAGCCCCTCGGCCGGGAGGGAGAGGCAGGGCCCAGCCTTGCACACAGGCTCTGCCAAGGGTGGTTTTGGGCGCTGGCTGCTGGCAGCTCGCTGCCGGGCCTCGCCTGTGTGTCCATGTGTCCCCGTGCTGTCCCTGCTGCCCCAGCTGCTCTGCTGCCTGTGGGTGGTGGGAGCAGTCAGAGGGGAGGAAGAGGAGGGATGCTCTCTAGCCCCTTCCCCTGGGTTCCTACTCACCCTGCATCCTGCCTGCTGGCCTCCCCACCACGCTGGCTGCTGAGCTGGGACCACAGCTGGGGCTGCGGGACAAGCTGGGGAAGAGAAGAGGGGGTGAAACTTCCTCCCGCACTTGGCTCTGGTCACACCCCTTGGCCTCTACTGTCGCCCCCAAGCCGGTGGCAGTGGCATGGTGGTACAGCGGCCACGGTGGGGCCGAGGTAAAGGAGCTGGGAACAAGCCCCAGGCACCACAGCCAAGCAGCTTTGCCCTGCCAATGCCAGCTAAACCAGACTGACCCCCCAGTGGCACAGGAGCCCCTGGCCCTCCTGGAGTAGGCACACCCCAAAACCACAGCATTGGTCCAACCCTAATGGGTCTGAGCCGCAGCGACTGGCCCAGGGGAAGGGCGGTGCAGCAGCCCCCATGCTAGGCAGGAAAGCCTGCTCTGGAGGCGTCAGCACAAGCCCTGCCTGTGCCATTTGCCCCCAGGCAGCGAGCGACCCTGGCACAGCTGCCCCTGGCTGCAGCCCGGCACAGGGGACATGCTGGAGTGGGTCTGGGTCTGGCCACCGGTGGCTGTGGGCACTGTGCAGGCTGCAGTGCCCCAGCATCCACTTGGCTGTTCTGACTCGGGAAGCATCAGGTAGGAGCAGCCATTCAGCTGCCTTGAGGCCAGGATGGGCAGGAGCAGGCCCTGGGACAGGGAAGGATCACAGCCCCTGCCCAGCTTTGGGTCCTTCTGGAAGCAGCTTTGTCCAGCAGGGCCCTGCGCAGGCTGGGGAAGCGGCAGCCGAGTGGCAGGGGCTGTTGTGCGAGGAGCCCTTTTGCTCCCTGGAGCCTCTTCTGCAAGGGTACACAACCAGGGAACCGGTCCCCAGGGGGTGTGGGACATTGCTAGGGGCCATAGGGGGGTTTTGAGGTACGCAGCACCCTGCTGGCACCTGCACCCCTCTCCCCAGTGGCACCCAGCTCGCCATGGCTTGGGTGGAGCCTCACCTTCAGCACGCCCTGCTCAGCAGCCGCCTTCACCTTGGCTAGCGCAGACCTGAGCCGTGCGTTCTCCTGCTCCAGCACCCCGATCCGGATGCTGTTGGCCTGCAGTTGCTTCTCCATGTCCTGGGTCAAGCTGCCAGTGCCTGCAAACAAAATACGTTATCGCTCAGCCCGCTGCTGCCTGCCCGCTCCCCTCCTGAGCAGGGTGGCTGCCCCAAACCAGGGAGTACCAGCACAGCCTGGGGGGTGCTGGGACCCCAAAGGTGAAAAAAACTCAGCCTGTGCCCTGGCCCTGCTTTATTTCCCAGCCTGGAATTGGAACAAACAGCACCTGCAGAGGGAGGTGTGGAAAGATGGCAGCGGCTCAGCACAGCCCACGGGCCGAGCCTTTCCTGGGTATCGGCGGGACAAAACTGCGTTGTACAAAGAACGCTGGCATGCCTGGGGCTGTCAGAATCCCTGGCCAGCTCCAGGAGACCCCGAAGGTGAAAGCAGATGCCACTGCCCACCGCCCTCTTACTCTCAAACTGCGTCTCGGTGGGAACGTGGAGCTCAGGGAAGAACACCAGGAGCTTCTCCCGTTCCTTCAGCTCCCGCGCCTGCTCCTCCAGCTTGGAGACATTTGCCTGCAGCTCTGAGACAGACCGTTCCAGGCTCAGCTTCTCCTGCTGCAGCGCATCCAGCACCTCCTGCATGGCACAGCAGCAAGGCGGCGAGGTTTGCAGAGCGCTCTCCCAAACCTCAGGAGGGTACAGGCTGGGGGAGTCCCTCAGATCCCCCCCAGGAAAGCTCCCACCCTTTCCTTATGTGACCAGGCTGTCCCACAGCAGTGTGATGAATTGCAGGGTCTTGGGTGCAAGGTCCCAAGTGGGAGCTGGAAGTGACAGTACCAATGATGTTCCTGGACGTGCATGATATGATGTGTGTCCAAGAATGTTGGGAGACACGGGAGAAGCCCAAGTTGCTGCTTCCTGCTGCTCCCCTTTGCCTCGGCTGCAGGGTAACGCAGCAGAGACTTGTCCAGGCAGGAGAGGGGTCTTCCCCCAGGGGTCCCGGAAGGAGATGGCCACATGAAAATGTCACACCAAGTCCCAGAGTCCCCCCCTCCAGGGAAAACTCTGGCTGTGGGCAGGAGATGGGAGAGCAGGTGGCTCCTGCCACCCTGGTGACAGAGCTGTCCCCCACGCCAGCTGCTCCCCAGGGAGCCCCGCTGCTGGAAGCCCCCCAGACCCGCGCTGGCTGCCGGCCCTGACCTGCTGTGCCTGTAGCTGTTGCCCGCTCTGCTCCTGGCTCTCCTCCAGCTGCTCTGCCAGCCTGGCCTTGCCTTCCTCGGCCTCTCCCAGGCTGGCTTGCAGCTCCTTGCGCTCCTGGTCCAGGCTGTCGAGCTGCTGCAGCAGGGCCCTCTGCTTGGCCTGCAGGGACTGTACAGGGCAGGCGAGCCTTCGTGGGGCTGCCACTGCACCCACCCAGCACTGCCCTTACACCAGGTGGCAGCACCCACAAGGACAAAGGGGCTGTGGCAGCAGCTGAGAGGGCAGAGAAGGGGTGCGGGGCAAGGAGGGCTCGGCCGAAGCCATGCAGAGCTGGTGGGGACAGAGGCTGAGCTCCTCGAGTGGGATCTCTGTTCCATCCCTGCCTTAAGGCCAGGGTGTGAAGGAGCCGGCCTGAGCTCAGCTCGCTCCCACAGCATGCGGTGGGGCTGCAGAGCAGATCCAGAGCGGTGCAGGGGTGGGCCCAGCCATACCTCTTGGTGCCTCAGCATGCTCTCCACTTTGGCCTTCTCCTTCTCCAGCTGGGTGGTGGTGGCACTCAGCTCCTGGCCCAGGCTCTCCTGCTGGCCAGTGAGCAGCCGCACCTTCTCCTCCAGCTCCAGCACCTGGCTCCTGGCCACCATTGTGGTCCTTGTCTCCTCCAGCAAGGTCTTGGTCACCTCTGGGGAGACACAGCACCTTTGGCCCAGGCTCAGCAGGAGGGGGAGCAGCTCCGGGATGAGGTGGCTTGAAGGGGCTCCCCACCCTCCACAGGCCCTGGTGAGGGGGAGGCAGGTCTGGCAGGAGGGCAGCCGCCCCTCAACCTTCGCCAGCACCAGCACAAGTCCACGCTGGTGCTGGATGGTGTTTGGATGCGATGAAGGAGGCTCATCCTCCCCTCGCCATTCCCACCAGCTCTGTACCCAACCAGGAGCTGGGAGTTAGGTGGGTGTAAAACACTTGGTAAGATCGGAGTGAGGCTGGGGGGGGGGATGTGCCAGCTGGGGGAGCCCCAGGGGTCCTTACCCAGCTCCTGCACAGCAGCCTGCTTCTCAGCCAGCTCCTCCTTTAATGCGGAAAGTCGCTCTTCCAGAAGAGCAGCTCCTAAATCAGCACAAAACCTCTACTAATTAAACAGCTCCGCAAAGAAACTAAACCAAGGAGGACAGCAAACAGCCACGCCAAAGCATTCTTCATCCAGTGGGGGTATCGAGCTGGCTTAGCAGGGAGGAAGCAGACAGAGGATGTGGACAACCGGCTCCCACTGTCTGGGGTTAGTCTAGAAGCGAGCAACAGCCCTGGCACCTGCCCAAATCAGTGGCAAAAGCCCAACTTGTGGTGGTGGGACCAAGATTTGACCACAGACTCCGTGCTTCTGCAAATACCCGTGGGCCTGGGAGGGGATGCTGGGAACAGTACAGTACCTCTGCGTAGGTCGTCCTTGTCCCGCTCCAGCCTGGCTACGGCCTCTGAATACTCTTTGTTCTTGAATTGCAGGTTCTGCTCAGCCTCCTTCCTCTGCTGCGCTTGGGTCTCCTTCTCCGCCTGAAGCAACTGGGAAAAGTCCTCAACCTGTTTCTGCAGCTCGTCCTTCTGTTTCTCTGACTCTTCCAGCTCAGACTTCAGCGGGTTGACCTGCTGCAGCAGCATCTGGAGGTGTTTGCTGATCCGGGAGAGGTCCTTGCTCTGCTCTGAGGCCCAGTAGCTCATGTCCGTTGCAGAGAGGATCCTTCTCCCTGCGCTTTCCTCCATCTCCTGGAACCTGCTCAGAGCTGAGGGGATGTTCTGGCTCTGGCAGATGCCAGTGATGGCTTTGCCGACCTCGCGGAGGCTGGCCTGCGCGCTGACACAGGTGTTGCAGAGTCCCAGAGATGACCCGGTTGTCTGTGTGGGGACACTGCAGCTGCTCTCGGCCCCGCTGCAGGCAGCCCTGGGCAGGGAGCTGCCCGAGGCATCACTGTCTGATGCACGGACGCTCAGCAATGGGCATGAAGAAGTGGACCGGGCAACTTCTGTGGAAGTTCTTAACTCCAAAACGTCAGGTGAGCAGTGTTTCAGGTGCTCCTTCTCAGGTTTCCCAGCCTGGGAAGTGGATTGCAGGGTGGGGATCTCCTTTCTGCAAGCCTTCTTCTGCTGGAGATTGCACAGAACAAAACCAGGGCTGGGATCAGTCGGCTGCGAATGATCCATAAGAGCCCAAACACAGGGGTGTGAAGGGTGGAGGACAGGACATTAGTGCAGCCAAGGGGCCAAGGAGTGCAGCGAGCCCTTCTCCTGGGAGGAGAGAAGTTCCCAGAGGTTGGAGGAGGCTGGCTACCAGCCTGCCTGATTCCTGTGCTCCGTTACAACCAAAGCACGTGGCTAACAAGCAAAATGAATTTGCTTCCCACTCCCCGACATATGGGGGAATTGAATTTTTATGAGCTGCCAGGCAGCCTTCCAGCCACCACTACCAGAGCTCTGGTTTCATGATGGGAGGCCTCGGCAGCAAAACCTGCTCCCCAGCTGCCCTTCATGTGACTGCCCCTTCTTCCTTGCGCTGTCTCCTGGTTATGCCAGATGAATTATTGTGAGACTTTGCCACAAAAGGGATCATTTGGGGGGTGAGGGGGAAATTGCAGGGGAGCAGTGTAGTGTTTTTACCACAAATTATTTCACTGATTTGAGCCAGCTCAGCCCCAGAGTGGAGTCAGCAGAGCTGCAGGGGCAGCATGGTGGCAGGAGGAGAATATTTTTCCAAGCAATAAAGGCAGCCAAATTCCCCATCTCGAGAGCCTGGGGGGCGCCTGGAGGGGGATGGATCCAGCAGCATGGCTGGGAGTGGTTGTTGGAGGAGGGAAGAGACTCAGGCTGGGAGGGGACAGCACGGGACAGAAGTGTCCTGTCCGACACACAGGTTGTGAGCCAGGAGCACATCAGGTGTGGCCACTGCCCGTGTCACAGGGCGTCCCCAAGAGGGACCGTGACCTCAGCACAGTCCAAATTGTGGGGGGTGAGGCAAGGGCCATTTCTGTACCCCCTGCACTTAGCTCGTGGGATGTCAGGGCCCCCAAATGTCCCACCTCGGCCAGAAGCTGCTGGTAGAAGGCACCGAGTTTCACCATGCTGCACCAGTACCTCCTCACCGTCAGCCCCGCAGACATGCAGGGTCCCACTGCCCGCGCTGGGGGGACGGCTCGCCCACTGAGCAGGTTTTCTGCATAGCCCGTGAAGCTCTGAAGCAGCAGCAGCAGCCTTCTTCAACAGAAATTAAACACAGCTTAGAGCAACGGAGTATTTGTCAGAGGTCAAGCCCCTTTGGTGTTTAAGAGCGCAGTGAGCCTGAAGGGCCAGCGCCGAGGTGAGGAGGTTGTCCCCCTTCCCCATCCCCTGGGCAAAGCGAGTTTTGGCAAAGGAGGGTGGGTGTCAGCGCTCCTGTGACCCCCCACCCAGGCCCAGATCACTCCTCAGAGTATTTGGTGGGATGAAAAATGCTCCTGCGGCTGCCGGGACACAGGCTGCGCGCACTGCTCACAGCCAGATGCTTCCAAGAAGCTGCAGTTCAGCTCTCCTGAAAGATCTGGGGCACCCATGCTGCCGATACTGAACCCTAATTGTTAGGGCCAACAGCTCTGTGGGAAGGGCTCCTCTTTTAAAATGGAATCATATTTATTTCCCCCAGATTGCAAAGGCGGTTTGCCTCCCAGGTCTGCAGGTGCAGCTGTGTCTGAGTGTTTCCAAGGTTTGGGGGGGGCAATTTAAGGAGCCTGCCCCCGTCTGCCCAGGTGCCCTCGGCTCCTGGATGGAGCAGCAGCTTTCCTTGCTCCTTCGTGGCCAGCATTTGCACTGGGAGCTCTGAGCTTGGCGCAGGGAAAGGAGTTGGGTTTTAAAAACGCAGTGTAGAGCTGCAGAGCATGAGGCTGAGGTGGCAGCATGCTGCTCATCACGGAAAGATGGGGAAAAAAAAGCATCCAAACCACTTGGCTGCATTTGATGGGCTGGACACACAGCCGTTCCTGTCCCTCTGTGGGGAAGGAGCCGCTCTACCAGCCAAGCTTCTTTTAATAGGGGTGTTTGGCTTTGCCTTCTCACCTGTCTATCACCAGCTCCAGCAGCACCACGTGGGAGTGCTGGGTGAATTCGGGGTCGTTCTCGCTGTAGCTGTACCGCTCCAGCAGCGCTGCCAGGTCCAGGTCGCAGGACACTTTATCGGGGAATTTCCAGGAGGGGAAACGCACGGCCCCAGCACGGGAGGAGACGTCGACAATGGCTGCCTGCAGGTCCCGCAGGTCGGCCCGCAGGCTCTCCATGCAGCGGGGGTGGCCCAGGAGGTGCGCCATGCTACTGAGGCGGCCAGCTGGGGCCTGCGATCAGTGGCCGGCTTTTTTCCTCCTGCTGCTATGGCAACCGCTGAGACCACGCCCCTTGCAGACCACGCCCCCAAGAGGCCATGCCCCCCGCACACGGTACGCTCAATGAGCTATCCCCCCCTCCGTGTGGCGCGCTGCTGGCACTTTCCACAGCGCATGCACTTTGCTCCCTCCCCGGC